TGATCAAATAAATCATTCTTTGATTTGAATTTGATCAAATCAAATATTCAAATGTCAAATCGAATTGCGGAACCCTACTTCTAATTGTAATGATAATGTTGTTACTATTAGTATAAAAAGTTTTGTTGAGTTATGTAAATTTGCATTAAAGGCTTTTAGATTATTAAAGAATATTTTAAGACTATGGGATATCATTAGGCAAAATTATAATAAATTTGGTTTAGTTGGTAAGAAAAATCTGCGAATAACCTTATAGCATATAACTTGAATAATAGTAATAGAAAATCCTTGCATATTTTTCTGGAATAATCATTTACCGGAATGAGTTTCAAGAACAAAATCTTTTCTATTGTTACTATTTTTATCAAGTTTATTATCAATATATTGATATAACCATTACTCCCATTTGTTATTAGGACCTTTATAGGATAAATCCCATTTATTTAATAAGCATTTAATATGATGACCTTTTTTTATATACTGCTCAAAGTTTCAGCTTGTAAATTATAATTAATTTTACTATCTGTTGAAAATTCCGATGTTCAATTCAATTGATTTAGTTGTGATGTGTCTATTGGTTATATTTTTTATTCAGACATTGAAAAATATTTACTTCGATAGAATAAAAATAACCAAAACCTGATTTTTTAATAATGGTCATTTGTTACTAAGCATATTTTCTATTTCTCAACCATTTACATCAATTTTATAATTTAGAATTCAAACATTCTCTTCAAAAGAAGCAATGTTTGTCCTGATATTAACAGTGATATGATATTAAAATTTTGAGCGATATCTAGATTATAAACTTCAGCAATTTTGGCATTTATACTAGAGCTCTTTTTATTTATATTATCTTTTCTATTACTGATTTTACCATTACTATTATCATTATCATCACTAGTGTTCCGCATAGATTTGATCAGATCAGATTTAAGCAAAATCTGATTCGATCTGAATCTGAAAAATCCGAATCTGAATCTATATCCGAATCTGACTAATCTGAATCTGACAGATCAAAAAATTTTTTTAACAAAAATCTGCCTCTGACGTTCAGAATGGCGTTTTAATGTTAAAAACAACAATTTTATTGTTTTTTAACAAAAATCCACCTTTGACATTCAGAACGGCATTTTAATGTTAAAAAAAATAACAATTTTGTTTTTTTTAACAAAAATCTGTCTCTGATGTTCGGATCAGCATTTTATTATTAAAAATTAATTTTTTTAATAATAAATGCTGCATCTGACTTTCAGGACACATTTTATTATTAAAATTTAAATTTTTTAATAATAAATGCTGCGTCTGACTTTCGGGGTGGTATTTAAATATAAAAAATTAATAAAAATTAAATTTTTTATTAATAAATGCTGCATCTGACTTTCAGGGTGGAATTTTATTATTAAACATTAATTTATTTAATAATAAATGCCACGTCTGACATTTAGGATGGTATTTTAATATAAAAATTAATAAAAATTAATTTTTTATTAATAAATGCTACATCTGACTTTCAGGGCAGAATTTTATTATTAAACATTAATTTATTTAATAATAAATGCCACATCTGACTTTTGGGGCGGAATATTAATATAAAAAATTAATAAAAATTAATTTTTTTATTAATAAATACTGCATCTGACTTTCAGGGCAGAATATTATTATTAAACATTAATTTATTCAATAATAAATGCTGCGTCTGACTTTTAGGGCGGCATTTTTATATAAAAATTAATAAAAATTAATTTTTTATTAATAAATGACGCGTCTGACTTTAAGGGTAGCATTTTATTATTAAAATTTAATTTTTTTATTAATAAATGCCTCATCTGACTTTTGGGGTTGAATTTTATTATTTGACATTAATTTATTTCATAATAGATGCTGTGTTCAACTTTCAGGATGGCATTTTGTTATTAAAAATTAATAAAAATTAATTTTTTAATAATAAATGCCATGTCTGACTTTCAGGTGGCATTTTATTATTAAAAATAAAATTTTTTTAATAATAAATGCCGCCTCTGACTTTCGGGACGGCATTTTATTATAAAAATTAATAAAAAATTAATTTTTTAATAATAAATGTCACATTTGACTTTCGGGGCAGCATTTTATTATTAAACATTAATTTTTTTAATAATAAATGCTGCCTCTGACTTTTGGGACAGCATTTTGTTATTAAAAATTAATAAAAATTAATTTTTAATAATAAATATCGCATCTATCTTCAGGGTGACATTTTTTATTTAAAATCTAACAAATTAGATCTGAATCCAAATTCGAATCCATCAGATTGAATCAGATTTTTTGCAAAACACTAATCATCACCATCACCTTACCATCACCATCATCATCACCATCACGATCTTCATCATCATTATTTGCATTGCTATCTCCGCCATTACTACCACTATAACTATTACCATCATTATTATTACCATTCCCTCTTTTACTATCTCCATTACCAATATTGCTACCATTGCCACTATTAATTTTTATATCATTATCATTGTTACTATCATCTACTTGTCATTTCTTAATGTTTCCTTTATTATTTAAAATAGGTTATTATTAAATAATAAATAGATAATAAATAGACATTTTTATTAATATATATTTGTTCATTAAAATTACCTTTTGTAAAAGAAAGCAATTAATCTTTAAAATTATTTATTATTTTTTTTAAAACTAAACTAAAAAAATGATTTATTAAAACTTGTATTTAAGATTTAGTAAATGTTTAATAGTTAATACATATTCATCTAAAATTAAAAGCAGTTTTTAATTGTTTAAAATAATATTATAATCATGCTTTAGCTGAATTTAAAGCATTATAAATACTATAATTGTGCAATCATTTTTACAAAATCTTCTTATACATTATCATATACATTGATTTTATTTTATACAAAAAGACATTTATAATAAATGAATGATTCTTGTATTATGGTTGAAAGAGCAGTATTAATATTAGGTTGAAGAAATTTTATCATAATATCTAATTTTTCTAATTTCTTCTAGAATAAGATACATTAATACATATTATAAAAATAATTTTACAAGAATCTCATTAAAATACTAACTTGCATATATTTCTTATTATAAAAATAATAAACAGGAAGATTTTTATAATTAACATTTTATATTAAAACTTCTAAATAGATTTATATGATTAATCATCATTAATATGAAAATCAGATTCTGAGAATTTTAGGTTTTATGAATAAAGATAAGAGCATTTTTTCAGTTCCAGTTGCATTTGTTATATAAAATATAGTAGCTTGGGATTTTTCTTTTTTTTTGATCAGATATAGAACCAACATATTGGGAGGTTTGCTAGGAAAATGGGGCTCTAAGCATTTTTTATTAAAATTCTAATTTTTATTGCATTTTAATCTTACATTATTACAAATTAAAATGCAATAAAAATTAAAAAATTCTCAGTGACCCATTTTCCTAGCAAACCTCCCATATGCCAACACTCTAGAAGGTTTTCATTTTCAAAAAGAGACCAGTTTCATCACCATTCAGGACTATAAGGCTCAAGGAATTGTTATAAGGCAAGATGGTCATTTTCTAAAAGAATGGTTGACATTGTAAAACAAATAGATAAGAAAGATTAAAAAGATTACAAAAGATTCGCGCGCCGCATAATTTAAATCTAAATCATGTGACATTCGTTATAGAAGACGTTCAGTATACGGTTCGTTATATCAATGATAAAAAAATCGGTTCTGGGAATCTTGGTTCATTATAACGAGTTTTCGGTACATAAAGGTTCGTTATAACCAATGGCGTAAATAGTTACAAAGAAAGTTATGCCGTTTGATTTAGAATAATTATGACTATAAATAAATTTGTTTACTTTAAATAATTCCTTTTTTTTATTATTCTACATTCCACAATAATTAATCAACAAATAGACAGTTGTATTTATGAATTTCAAAAGAAAAAGTTTATGTATTTTGTTTCTACATGAATTTGCTAAAAAAATTTAATAAAAATAACCGATTTAAATAAATTTTGTATTCAAAAAATTTATTAAAAATGTACTTGAATTAATTAATGATCACATTTCTATTTTTCTGACATGCGTAATGTTTACTTTATTTCTTTATTTTTTTAATGACTTCATTATAAAAAAAGATTTCGTCAATATCGGAATGTTAAAAAACAAATATATTAAAAGAATGAAATCGGTTTTCACGGCAATACGTTGATAATTTCTTGCTTCATTCATATTTTTTACCTAGAATTAAAATTGATTCTTACTACAAAAAAAAAGCAAATTCACGTACTTTTGATTATCATATCCGTCATAAAATAAACATATCAAGATAAACTAGCTATGAACAATTTTTTATAGCATATATCAAATACCCTATAAAAAGAACACACAGACAGAGAATCATTACAAAAGTGTGCCAAAACCGGTACCTTTAGACTTTTAGCATCGGATTGGATCCAATGCCGTTTAAGAGCTGACTAATAAAATGATTATTATCCCTAACTTGGCACACGTACAGACCAGACCCTACAGAATGGTTCCATTAAATAAAATTTATATCAAACTAAATAATATTCAACATCACTGATGTCGTAGAATAATAATATATTGTATGTCAAAAAAAAGCTTTATTGATTTCTGCACCGTTCCAATTCTATAAGAGATTAATAAAATAAGATTACATGGTACTCATATTATGCATAATGTTATATCTTTTTAACTCAATTACCTGTGTCACTCGCCAGAGAAATATCCATTGATTGCATCATGAAATCTAACTCGTAATTAAAAATTTTAACATCATTTTCAATCCGTTCATCTTGATAAGACTTGGCAATTTTGCCAACAAAATTACGAATGTTTCCAATGATATGAACCAAACTTTTTAATTTATTAAAATTTTCTCTTGAAAAGTATTCGTCGTTTTCATTACGATTTTTTAAGTTGCTTATGGCTGTATCAGATTTTTGGACCTTATCTAACAATTTCCCACAAATTATTTTATTATGCTCAGCTTCTTGATATATTTTAATCATCTCGTTAAATGCATCGGTTACTTCTTTAATAAGTGGTAAAAAATCTACAAACGGAACTATAACGACGGATATGGTTGTAATAAGCAAATGGTTGATAAATAAATATATATATCCTTAAAAAAAGTAAATAATAATTTCGATGAAAAATATAATTTATCTTTACCAGCTACATATTCTTCTGGAATAATACGATAACATTCTCTTCTCACTGTGATCAATTATTATTAAAAGAAAATAATGTTTAAAATAAACGTCATTAGGAATATTTAAACATATGCTTACTTGCGTATGTTTCATTTGGAAGCATTATTAATATAAATAGTAAAAGAATAGAATTTATGATGTTTATATTTATGAATTATTTCATTTTTTTTTTTAGTTACACTGCGTGTTTTATGTTGCGTTAATACTTTTAAGAGTTGGAAATGGTTAATTTTAACCGGTTTAATAACCGGTTATCTGTTACAACTGTTTTCATAAGTAGCGGGACACTCGGCAATTTTTTAAGATTTCGCGAAAATATTCTAGAGCTTTCACCCAATTATTAGTAGAATAAAGAGTTGTTCTTGGACGTTTTATATGGCATTTTTAAAATAAATAATTGCTATATCGGTCACGGGGCCCTTCATTGATTGGTGAAAATGAGCAACTAATTGAGCCATTTTCATCCAATCATTCAGTCCTGTGACCGATATAGCTACTCCCCATCCAATAATATTACGTAATATTTCTGTAAATAGTAAGAAGCTTATGATCTAATATAGTTTTATACTTTGCAATATTAATTTGGAAACAGTCTATAACCAAACATTTTTATTTCGTTACAAAATATATCTACAATTTTACGCAAGAAAACAACAAACTTTTTACAGCATGAAACATCAACAAAAAAAGTAGATCATAACGTCTAGTTTATACTTTGGACAATAAAATAATACGTTCAACGTTTATAAACACAACTATGATCACGACGACAACAACGAGGAAGGGAATTATCCGTGGTAGCCGTAGTAATTAATGTAAGTTCATACCCATGCTTACACATAATGCGTTAATTTTTCAAGCGTATTCTAGATGTCATTTGAATCTGTTTAGAACACGTGTCTGAATTATTAGTGTTTCTTGTTTCTCTAATCAATCTAAACCATTATTTTATTAGAATATAGATTCGTCGTTGGAGAAATGAACTATTTGGTAAGTTTCATACCCATAATGTGTCAATTGTTTGGGACATTCTCATGAATATGTTCAGAAAGCATGCATCATTGAATTACTTAGAGTTTGTTGTTTCTCTAACAATTATTTTTTTATTTTTGGATTTTCATTAATTTAAAGTAGGTTTCCATTTCAGCATGATCGATCACTTAGCAACATACATTTGCTTACAACTAAAATGTTAACTATTCAAGTGTATTATAGATTTATACCCATGTGCAATTGTTAAGAAGTTAATACATTGATTCAGAGCTAAACAAATAAAACTATTTATTTTAGATCTTTGGATTTCTTTACTTTATTTCTTTGCTTTATAGATAGTAACTAGCATTGGATGTTATTTCGCAAAAGTTATTTATTCAAATATCAAAATCATTTGTCAAAGCAATGCATCAAATACTCTTTCAGTTCAACTTCAAAATATTGAAAATAAGAAAATAAAGTTATGTGAATTTAAAATAATTTATCTATTATTATGACAGTATAAAGTATTATTTCCTTTATTAACCTTTTGGCATAATATCAGCAACGACTACAGAATCTCTATTAAGATCAGGCTAGAATAGGCTCATATTACACATGGAGGAGCTTGGTATCATACTGGCCACCTCCGTTAATAAATTTTTATTTATCTCCTTTTAGATGTGGATTCTGGGATCACTGGACGCATTGTGATACATCATCATCGATGCCAGCAGGGTGGACATACTTCATATTATCACATTTGTTGATCATTTTGCCGATCATTTGCCGATCATTTGCCGATCA